AACATAGTTAACCCAAACATAAATGATATAATGAAATTTTTTTTGAAACAGTGCCATTTTGCAAAGATTTCGAAAAGGTGGCATTTTTGAAAAGTGGCATTTTTTGAAATTTCTCAAGAAATTTTGATATGTTTTATGAAAAAAAACTTCCCAAAATTGTAACAAAAAATTTGAAAGTAACAAATTATAATTATTCTTTCGATTTTTTTCTTTCACACAAGACAATTTGAAAGTAACAAAAAGATTTTTTTTTTTAATTTGAAAGTAACAGAAAACATTTTTAATATGTTCATATATAAAATTTATGTTTATATATTTTAAATAATTTATTTGTATTCTAAATTCTACTTAAGATATTCGGACAAGCCAAATTTAACATAATTTATACTTATGATACAATTCAAATAAATATGAGTTGTACATATTTATTTAATAAATAAGTACTCTTTAAGCTATTGGTTTAGATCATTTCTATTTTTATAGTAAACTTCATCTTTTATATATTAAGTTATAATAAAATAAAAAAATATCAATATCAATATCTTTACAATTTAAGTAAACTTAAAAAAACATCAAATCTAAATGTCTAAATTCGCAATTGAATCTAACAGAAAACAATATTATCCACAGTAAATATTTTTGTTTTAGATATTGTTATTCAAAAATAAAATAATTCACATGGATTTAACTAAATGGATATTAAACACAATTGATCACAATATGTCGTGTTTTGTTTTGTCAAATTTTCAAGTTTAAAAGGAATTTACACACATGTGGGAGTCGAAACTAGCACAATTAGATTTGTTANGGTTTCGTGAAGAGGTAGAGATTTCTAGGGTTAGCTAAGATCACAAAGGTATGAAAAAGTTNTTTGTTATTGCTCTGTAAGATTTTGNGAACAAGATTGCGANTNCCTTCTCAAGGNCTTTTACATCAAGTATATATACTATCTCTAAGGNGGCCAAGCCTCCTAAGTCTTCGCGGATTCCTTTCTTGCCAAGGTCGNTTGCATCGAAGTGGGCTTCGCGTCTGGACCGGGCTTTGGACTGTCTTTGTGTCATCGGGTCGTCTTCATGTTATTGGGCTACTGGGCCCAGGACGCGGTCGGACCGTCGAGGATCCGAGGACGCGGTCGGACCGTCAAGGATTCGAGGACGCGGTCGGATAGTTGAGGAT